CCCAGCCAGCATTACAACAGCTGGTCATAATTAGCATGAGCTGCAGCAGAGGCATCTTGTCACACACCTTGCTTGTTAAACTTTGTTCTAACATGGTTATTACTCCAAAACACCGAGCAACACCTTTGGCCCTATCATCATATGAGAACGAACTCACAAAATGCATATTTTTCTGAGCTGGGAGTTATTTAAGCTGAAAGTGTGTAGTTGCTGAGGAAGGAAGCTGTGTAAAAAGATGAGGAAGGACAAAAGTGGAGTTTGATGGGAGAGAAATGATACATGGTTAAAAGGTAGGAATTAATTTAAGATCAGTTCTTTTTACCTGTCCTGACTCCTTCTGATTTTTAGCATATTTGTATTGGGTACAATTCTCATTTCAGGATCCACAACTCTGGGGAGATTTGAGAAAAAGGCTACCACATGCAAAAGTGGGGGTTTTAAAGAGTTAACTTATGAATATTAAGCTCATCCATTCCACTATTTTGAAGATTTTTTTTATGGCAAGTCATGACAGACATAACAACAGTTTTCCTGCAAGAAAAGGTCCATCTACCTCCCCTGATCATGAAGAAAATTTTGGAAAGCTGATCCAGAAAGTCATACCCAGAGGACATAGTCAGAAGCCAAATAAGTCCCAAATCATATTAGCTTTATGTAAATCTTTTGAGCTGTACAGCAGAGTGGAAGATTGTTCTATGTCTAGAAAAGGCCTGACTGCTATGTAAAATAATAAGCACCCTGATCTGAACACAAATACAAGATGCATCCCTTGGAATGAAGAGAAAGGTTTTCATCTTTCACAATTCTCCAGTTCCCAAGCTTTCTTTCTGGTTAACTCAGAGTCTCAGCATACTTTGGAATGGTTTGCCCACTCTTCCAAAGACTAATTTTGTCACCTTCCATTTGAAAATAAAATTTTGGAAGCAGCTGCATTCATCTGAACTAACTTAATCAGAGCTTCTTGGTTTGGTATCTCTCCAGTAGATTCAGGCCTTTCTTGTCAGCACCATAACACGTAAGCTCCCTTTTTGCCTTTTACAGGCATTTCCCCAAGTATGTGCCAACACATCTTGATGAAACCTTGGCTCTGTCTATGGCAACTAGATGTTTGTCTGACTGCAGTGAGAACAGGATTTCTCCTACTGCCTTTATTTTTGTATAACCTATAAAAAGATAATGAAGATGGAAAGCAGGCGTAAACAAACATTATTCAGAGGCAGCAATTTATTTTCATTTCAGCTTCACTCTAGTTCAGCAATAGACAATATGAATATGCATGCTACATATTTGATATTCTTTACCCAGTGCTTTCAGTCTCTGCAGTCTTAATTTGGAGGATGACTGATGTGCAGACCATAACAGCAGTCCTTGAACAGGCCAGGTAGAAGCTGAAAGATCAAGACGGTGAATCAGAGCATTACCATTTTCCCAATATTTCTTTTCTTGATTTCACTTTTTCTGAAAGGCTCATTCATGCTCTGATTTTCCCTTCTGTCCTACACAAGTCTTCAAGACCTACACAAATTTAGGCCACTCAGTATCATGTAAATACTTCTGACTATTATGTTACTCATTTGTTTCTCACTGTAAAGCATCTGGAATCATGTCAGGTTCAAGATATCCTTCCTTACCCTAAAAACCTTCACAGGAATAAAGGAACACCACAGCAGTTTACAAGAAAAGGAGTCCCATTTTCACTTACACATGAGGGTGTCAGGGTGCTCACTACTTCCGGCATAGTCCCACATAAGGTCCTTTACAGATGCAGTTCCAGCTCATCAGACACTTTGTTTGCATGTCTCACTCACAGTCTGGTTGCTACAGCTGTCTGACTTTTAGCTGCAAATCTGCTCCCTGTTGGTGTTTAAATACACCTTTCCCTTTTCTGCTTAGGACTCCCTTTAACAAGGCAACATGAGTAAAGCAGAGTAAAGCCACATTGGGATACACTGGCTTAGCTTGTACAATTAGAAAAACTTCTGATTAGTCACAAATCAGAAACCTAAAGCAAGGGAAAGCTCAGCAAGCCAAATGAGTTGAACTTTTGAGGTCTTTTTTTCAGGGGGTTTCTGCTGGTGTGTTTTAGAAATCAGAGGACATAGGTGGATAGGTGGGTTTCCATCAGCTAAATCCCTGGCTGTGAGCCAGGTGAATGGCCTCTGCTTTGAAAAGGATGAAAGCAGGGTCAGCCAACAAACCAACAGAAGTGGAGAAAGCTGAGCAGAGAAGGACTTGGTGAAAGACTAGGGAGGGAGCTCAAAACCTGAGTTGCACTATGGAAGGAATTCAGCATGCTTGGTGTAGATACCTAACGCATACCTGCCTTTCAGCTGCCCTCTGGCACTCCCTGTCTCAAGAAGTACAATTATTATTTTTATAGTCAATGGATGGAGATACATGTCTCCACAAAGAAATCACAGTCATCTCTCATAGGAATAACACACAGGGTTTTACTCAGGCATCTGCAAAAGCAGATCATTGCCTGTGCATGCTGTGGAAAGGTGGCAACCAAAATGAAGTGTATGTTGGGTGCCTGAATGAGAAAAATTCAGCCTTAATACATTTTGGCAATGAGAGGAGGTTGTCAAAATGTTGCCAGTTCAGAGCTCGGACAGTTTCATAAGGCACAAATGGCAAGGAGGAGATGGCAACAACTCTTAACCATTTCTTCCTACTTCCAGTTTTGCTCCTTCATTGCCTGCAGAAAGAGACTCATCACATTCATCTTTCAAGTACTTTGTGAATTTATCTTTTTTCCTTCTTTCAACTCTGTACCTAGTTGTATGTGCAACCATCTCAGGAGCTGGGGGAGGGGGGGGTTGGGGAGGAAAACAAAGCGAAGAGCCAAGGCCTGAGGGCAGAAATATTTCAGGTTGCCAGAAGAAAGATGTTATTTTATGATTCACTGGTTATTTGTGCTGTAGACGGCTGGCTTTAGGGAATTAATGGAAATCAGACACATTTCACCCAGCCAGTTGTACAGTCTTACCTCTGTTTGGTGTAGTGGTGGGTAGATGGTTACTGTAGCTCCTTTATGGCTAAAAGGTGACCTTTCAAGCTGCAATACCTGCAGAAAGGCTTATAGGAAGCATTCTGGAGAGATGGTGCCTTTGAGGAGTCAGAAGCTTTCCCATGCTGCTCTTTATGCATAAGGATAAAAGACTTCTATTACTTGGGGCATTCGCAGCTTCTCTGGACAGCCTCATACAGTGCCTCAACACCCTCCCAGTGAGGAATCTCTTCATAATATTTAATCTAAACCTGCTCTCTCTCGGATTAAACATTCCCCCTTGTGTTATCACTACATGCCCTTGTGAAACATTTCCCTCCAGCTCTCTTCCAGCCCCTTCAGGTGCCTGCAAGGTGCTGAAAGGGCTCCCCAGAGCCTTCTCTTCTCCAGGCTAAACAGCCCCAAATCTCTCAGCCTGTCAGGAGAGATCATTCTGACCTCTGACAATCTTCGTAGCCCTCCTCTGGACATGTTCCAATGACTCTATGTCCTTCCGTACTGCAGAGCTGAACACAGCACTGCAGGTGGGGTCACAAGAGCAGAGCAGAGGGGCAGAATCCTCTTCCTTGACCTGCTGCCCACACTGCTTTGGATGCAGCTCAGGATGAAGTTGGCTCTCTGTGCTGGACATGTACACTGCCAGCTCATGCTGAGCTTCTCATCCACCAACACTCCTGAGTCTTTCTGCCCAGGGCTGCTCTCAATCCGTGCTCTGCTCAGCCTGTGTTTGTGCTTGGATTGCTCTGACCCAGGTGCAGCACCCTGCACTTGGCCTTATTGAACATCATGAAGTTCTTACAGGCTCACCCCTCAAGCCAGCCCAGGTCTCTCTGGATGGAATCCCTTCTCTTCAGTGTGTTGACTGCAGCACACAGCTTAGGGTCATCAGCAAACTTGCTGAGGGTGCACTTGATCCCACTGTCCATGTCATTGATAAAGATGTTAAACCATATTGGTCTCAATTCTGACCCTCAGGAATATCACTCATCACTGCTCTCTGCTTGGACATCAAGCCATTGACCATGCAGCCAATTCCTTATCCACTGACTGATCCCTCTGTTAGATCCGTGTCTCTCCAGTTTAGACACAAAGTTTCATGCAGGACGGTGTCCAGTTCTTTGCATGAGTCCCGGTAAATGGTGTCAGTCACTCTTCCCTCATACACCAAAGCTGTAATCCCATAATAGAAGGCCACCAGATTTGCCAGGTGCCATTTGCCCTTAGTTAAGTCATGTTTGCTGTCACCAGTCACCTCCTTATTTTCCATGTGCCTTCTCACAGTTTCCAGGAGGATTTGCTCCACAATCATGACAGTCACTGCAACTGCCTGTTGTGTACTTCCCCAAGTCTTTTTTTTCCCCTTTGGAAAGGGGACTTATATTTTCCCTTTTCCTATCAGTGGGAATTTCACAGGACTGACAGAGCTTCTCAAATATGATGCATAGGGGCTTACCCACTTCCTCTCCAGGTCCCGTGGACTTGTTCACCTTCAGGTTCCTTAGATTTTTCAAACCTGTTTTCCTACAGCAGGCAGTTCCCCATTTTCCCAGTCCTTGTCTTTCTCTTCTGTAGGAAGGAAGGTGCATGATCATCCTCCATCTCACAGTGGGCAAACACTGACCTGTGCTGCAGGGTTTGGTGCTTTCCTACACAAGGATGCAAAAGGGAAGTACAAGAGAGCATCTGTGTTTGGTAATGTTTCTAAAGGAGCCTCTGTAACATAAAGGCTTTTGTCTTTAGACTTTCTCTGCAGTATTAAGGGATACACTTATAAAGTGTGATGTGCCTCTGCTTTTGAAAGGTTCTCCAAACAGAGCTTCCACTCAGTTTCAATACATAAATGTAGAGCTAGCGAATTCATACAATATGTCTGCATATTCAGTTTGGCTTTTTTTTTTAAGATGTATTTTTGTTGTATTTTAACTAAAATTACTATCCCATATCAGAGATCTAGACTTTGCTGCACATGTTTTCTATTTCTGTTTTGCAGTTTTTGTTATGACAGCAGTTGCTTTCACTTCAACAATGACTCAAAATACATCTGAGATCATGTGTGGATTTATCAGCCAGAAGGATGAAGAAGGTTCAGGAGCACCAGGGACATCAGTATCTCCTAAGGTGATATAATAGAGAACAAGTTGCTTATAAATTGTTCCTTTCCATTCCAGAAATACCTTCCCAGGAACTTACAACACCCTAAACCTTTAGAATGTGATGACATTACAGTCAAAATCACCAGGGTTATGCCAAATACAGCCACAGAAGGTTAGAGGGATATATATCTGAAAATTCATACTTTGAAACTGTATATAACTAAGTACCAGTTTTAGAGAAAACTGGCTTTTTAATTAACATCTTGATGTTGTCTTATATCAGCATACCTGAATATTGCTGGATATTCTGACAAGGCAGAATATGGCTGTTATTTCTAGGTACTTCTCAGGTCAAGAGAAAGGAAAAACGAGTGAGGCATGAGAAGAACCAACCAAACAAGCAAAATGAGGATGCAATGAACTCTGTCCTTTCATAAATTTACACTAGATAAAATTCACTCAACAAAGTAATGGAGATATGTAGGGCTTCTCTTCAGATGGAGCAACTTACTTGCCACCTTTTACTGCAGCTACTCTTAGAGACTCTTTAATCCGTTGGTGGCTTTCAAAATGACTGTGGAAGATTCTGTTTCTGTTTGCAATTCTCCTTTAGCTGTACACAGGGGTGAGGAAATGAAACATATGACGGTGTCCAGCCCAAATGCTCCTTACCCAGTAAAGCCCTCAAGGAGCTGAGGAGCAATCTAGTCAGATGATGCAGTGACAAGCAGTGAGATGCTAAAATAAACCAAACATCCTGACCCTGCCTTTGCATCCAAGTTTCAAACAAAGGTTTTATTATAGTTCTGTGTCTCCCTATGGTTCTAAATAAAAGGAAACAAAATCAAGTGTAAAGAATAACCTGCATCACTAACTGAAATTATCATTGCTCTGGCTAAGATTGTTCTGTGGTCTGTGGCCCATGTCTATCTAGAGAACAGAACTGACTGATTCAACAGGAACCCTATAGAGTTTCCTCATGCAGTAGAATTCAACGTATTTATTAATAGGTAGGATGGTAGAAATGAAAAGAACATCCTTTAAAAACATTTGAATGCAAAAAAAACCCCAAAAAACAAATAAAGCTATCTGCTAATAAATACCTAACAGTCTGTCCTCCTGCATTGCAGGTTTCTGCTGTTTTGGAAGATCTTGGGTGTTACTTGAATTCCCAAGGAACAGAGAACATCTACCAAACAATTAAAAATGTGGAAGTCAATTTATTTGAAGATATTGAATTAAGAATAACAATGAGCATTTCAAATATCATTTCATGCTTTTGGGTCTTTAAAAAGAGCAAAGCCTGTAAACTTTCTTTCGACTCAGAGAATAGGTAAGTCAAGGGTTGTACTGGATCAAAGATCTTTTAAGAAATCTTTTCTTTTAGAATGCAAATTGAATGTTTTCTATGCCTGTATTTGATTTCATGTTATGTATAATTTTTTTCAATCTCTTAATCTTTAACTGTTGTCACCCAGCAGCACATTACTGATTGTCATTTACATCAATATACACGTAGGAATCTTAAAACCAAGAACATTTTAAAACAAGCTTGTTCTTTAAATTTGTATAACATCATGGATGGGGGTCTCAAATCACTCTCTGACATTGATGAAGTTGAGTTTTGCCATGCTCATGTGAGGAAAAATTGTGACTTTGTAGTCAAAGAGGCATGAAGAATTATATGACTCTTAAGATCACAGTGCAGATCAAGAACAACAGCAACAGCATCCTAACTCTCACAGCCAAACCTGGACTGGAACCTGAGACTGCATAATTTCCTCCTCATCCAGAACTTGTAGAATGAGACTGTAGGTAAAGCATTTGGCTGTGGAGCTCCTGAGCTGCCTCAAGCCCAGGAAGGCCATCCTTCCCAATGCTCAGCACTGAGCATGGTGCTGTGGCTGTAAGCTCCTATGTGCTGCTTGTGTAGAAAGACAAATGAAGGAAGCATTTCAGGTTGAGGCATTCATTATTATGTAAATAATGAATACCAGTGTCTTTGAAGGGTTTTTGCAAGCACTAAAGAGCTAGGATTTAATTGTGTGTGCTGCATATTACCTTCTTCATACTAGCGTGACAAATACCACTTCACTTTCTCTTTCATAGATACATTATATCTTTGGCTTTTTCCCAAATAAGAGAAGGACAAGCTGGAAAATACACCCTCTTGGTCACGAGTGAAACTGGCAATTACACAGTAGTTGTGCCTGTTCTCATCCGAAGTAAGTATGTTTACATGAAAGGGGTCATTCCATCAATATGTTCAAGGGCAGAGGCTCAAGTTCAGTCAAAGCAATGAAGCTTTCATGCGCTGCACTTCAAGCATCTTCCTAGATTAGCACAGCACTTAGAGCTGTCTTTGGAGGCTGAAGTCAGAACCACGAACTACGTGAGAGTCAGCTTTCTCTAGTCAATAAACCATGCAGACGAACAAAGATGTAAACGTGCAGAAGCGTTCTTCTCCCCTGTGAGAAATGCTCCTCTGTGTCAAAAGGGACAATTGATGGTGGCTTTTTCTCTGCTTTTAAGGTTCATGGGCTAGATTTGTTTACTTTCATTTTAACCTGTTTATTCTTTACAACCTAGCCAGCAAGGGCTGTAATCTGGACCAGCTCAGGATGTCCCTTTAATATTCTGGTCACACTTTGACCTGCTGCCCCTTTTCCACTTGTGCCTGCTGCTGGGTCTCTCACTTCTCTCACTGCTTTTCCTTTTACATTTCTGTGGGTGGCAAGAGGTACACTGAGGAAAGGGGAAAGAAAAGGTCCCTCTTCTCAGTGCCAGCTTTGGCTTGTTCTTTTTCTTTTAAAGCAAAACCCATCGGTTCTGCAGCTGCTCAACACAAGCATGCCCGAGAAGCTGAGGTTTTAGCTGCTGTTAAATGCTCATGAGAGAGCACCTGTGAGGTGCAACTCTTTGAAAGGCTCCCAGTGGGAGTGGATTTGATTGAGTTTTCTCAAGGCTCACACAAGAGACATCTCTGACGCAAAGGCAACAGCTGCAACAAAGTGCAAGCTTCTGTTTCTAACTAGGGGTGTCCAAGAACATCTCAAAAAATACCATAAAGACACATGGTGACATGATTTTTTAACAGAATAGAAAGATTGTATTATTTTTTCTGAAAAGGGACAAATTTAAAACTACAAAAAGAAATTTCAAAGGCAAAACCTCAATCCAAGCAGTAAAAGACTAGGGAACCCTTCCAGGTTTAACAAGCACTATTACTTGCCTTGATTTTAATAAACTGAATTTGTTTTTCCCTCTTTATTTGTTTTTTAAGAATTTCTTCTGTTTAATTTTTTTCTCTCTCTCTCTGGTGTCAGGAAAGTCACCTCTAATCTCTCCTTGTTTAATTTGAAAGTTTACTGCATGCCTCAATTATAATTTTAAGAGTTTCATTGAGGGGACAAGGTATTAAAACTCTCATTAAGAATTTCCATCTCTATATTAATTAGGCTTTAGAGGTAAAAAGTGTTATTACATGTGCAAGCAAGAATAGTTTGAAACAATGTCGGTAAAGGTCTTTTCCATACCAATTGCTTGGATTGCTTTCTCTTTGCTCCTGTGAATTTAATGCCATAATTACATCTCTTACAAAACCCTTCAGGCTAGTTGTGAATCTTTCAACTTGGATGGGAATCTCTGTAGGTAAAAAACACCTCTTAGGCCTATCCTATAAGATATAAATGAGGAAAGAAATTACAAAGCCATGAGTATTGCTTTCACCTTGCTTGAAATGGAAGTATGACTAAGGAAAATGTCACTTTTATACGTGGCAGCTGCAATTTCATTGAAAGATGACTTAAAACTGGACTCGGTGCTTTTCATTTTGAGTCAAACCTTTAGCAGTTTTAACACATTAAATTTTTTGTTCCTAGTCCAGCTCTGTGCCTGAGAGGTTCAGAGTGCTGGGAATTGTCTAGGAATCATTTCCCTCTGGGTTACAGATGCAGAGTAGAGAAGTTTTCTGGTTATCAGAAGTCATTATCACCCCTTCTGCCCCCATCATGTGTCTGATGTGACTGAGCAAACCCCATTTTGTGTACAGATTTTGTAGTCTCAACAGATACTCCACCAAAGGACAGGCTTAGGATATGATTTCAAAACCACAGGTGCTCCTGCCCAGTGAAAAGAATAGCAACCTAGAAAATTAACATCTTCCAGTATCAGTCTCAGGATTATCTCCTGGCCTATAGAGGCAGGCCTTTGGTATAGGGAAGCTGTGCATTTAGCAATCAAGGCTGAAAAGCTCATGAGACCAGCCTGCCATACTCCTGGTGCTAAATAATTTTCTGTTCCCTCAGTATTGAAACTCCTGAAACAAATCACAGCTCTGTAACTTTATGTACTACCAAATGAGCAAAACACTGTTTCAAAATTATTTCAGCTTTCTTAAACATTTGCATGATTTTTATCAGAAAAACCAGCCAAACCCTATTTCAGGAAAAGGGAAAAATCAGATTCTATCAAGTGCATATCTGAGAGCTACCCCCAGGCCTCTGTGGAATGGATATTCTGCAAAACACCTGAAAAGAGGTATGTGTATGTTTATATGCATGTTGAATCGCTAAACTAAGAGTTTGCTATCTTCTGAAGAAAAAGCAACAGGGTGAGAAGAAGTGACCTCAAGATTGTATATTAGGAAAAATTTCTTCACTTAAAGGGTTGCTAAGCACTGGAACAGGCTGCCAAAGGAAGCAATTGAATCACCATCCCTGGAAGTGTTCAAAAAACGTGTAACGTGGCACTTGGAAGCCTGGTTTAGTGGTGAACATGGCAGAGTTAGGTTATGGTTGGACTCAATAATCTTAGAGGTCTTCTCCAACCTTCATGATTCTATGATTCTACACTGATTAGTGTGCCTATTGAGCTGGAGAAGATTTTTTGTTTCAGAATTTTTGGAGATGGGCTCTGCTGGTTGGCACACCCACGTGCTGGTTGAAAACCTATGTCCATGTGATCTGCTTTTGGAGCACTGGAACACATTTTTCTTAGAAATTTTGACTGTTATGCTCTTTTGGAAACTGTCAGCTCTTGGCTTTAGAAATGTTGTTCCAGATTCATATTTTGATGTCACAAGAGCAAATCAAAGGCATCCTGTTTCCCTCCAGTTTTTCACTTTGTTTTTAAATTTGAATCTTACAGTCATGGAACGCTTTGGATTGTAAAGGATCTTTAAAGCTCATCTTTAAAGTCTAAGTGCACTGCAATATGCAGGTGCATATACATCTTCAAGATCAGGTTCCTCAGAGCCTTGACCTTGAGTGTTTTCAAACATAGGGGAGTTGCCACCTCTCTGGCAACCTGTGTCAGTGTTTCTCCATCCTCATAATAAAAAAAAAAAAAATATTCCTTATGTCCAGTCTAGATTTACCTTCTTTTAGTTTAAAACCACTACCCCTTGTCCTATTGTGACAGGTCCTGCTAAAAAGTTTATCCTGATCTCACTGATAAACCCTCTTTAACTCCTGGGAGGCAGCTGTAAGATCTTCACAGAGCCTTTCACTTCTCCAGGCTGACCCATCACAGCTGTCTCCATAGGAGAAGTGCTCCAGACCTCTGAACCTCTTTGTGGCCTCCTCTGGACTCTCTACAGAATGGCCACATCTTTTTTATGTTGAAGGCCCCAGAACTGCATGCAATCCTCTAGGTGGGGTCTCATGAGAGTGGAGTAGGGGAGCAGAATCCTCTCCCTTCACCTGCTGGCCACACTTCCTTTGATGCAGCTCAGAATACAATTGTTTTTTGGGCTGCAAGTGCACATATGTGAATCATGTCCAACTTTTCATCTGCCAGTTCTCCCAAGTCCTTCTAAGCCGGGCTGCCCAATGTCTGTTCATCCCCCAACCTGGACTGATACCAGGGATTGCCTTGACACAGGCACAGCACCTTGTGCTTGGCTTTGTTGAACCCCATGAGTTTCCCATAGGCCCACCACCTGAGCTTTTCCAGGTCCCCCTGGATGCCATCCGATTCCCCACGTGTGCCAAGTGTACCACACAGCTTGGTGCCATCTGTAAGCTTCCCACTGTGTGTGTGTCATTGATGAAGATGTTAGTCCTGGTTCCAGTACAGAGCCCTGAGGGACAGTCCTTGTCTCTGAGGGCCAACTGGACACGGACCACTACTCTCTGAATGTGACCATCTGACCAAAGTCTCATTCACCAAACAGTCCACCCATCAAATCTGTATCTCTCCAGTTTAGAGAGAAGGATGCTGAGGAGGGAGGAGCACGTCCACAGCTTTACAGAAATCCAGGCAGATGGAATCTGTTGCCATTCCCTTCTTGTCCACTGATATTGTCACTCCATCACAGAAGACCACTAGGTTGATCAAGCAGGATTGCCCTTGGTGAAGCCACGCTGACTGTTTCAAATCACCTCCCTGTGCCTTAGCAGAACTTCTAGGAAGTTCTGTTCTGTGACCTTCCCAGGCACAGAGGTGAGGCTGACAGGTTGGCAGTTCCCATGGTCTTCCTTTCTACCCTTTTTTTAAATGATGCAATGTTTCCATTTTTCCAGTCACTGGGAGCTTCACCAGGAGCATTAGAGCCAAGAAGAGAAGGGATCATGATTTTGTGAGCTAAATAATGTTTCCCATTCTATTAATATATAAAGCTTACTCTATGAACAGAGGCAATAATGCCTTTCTCTGCAGTGTGGAAGTTCAGAGTCTGGATCTCATAAAGGCCCCTGGATTTGCAGCACCTCTCACCACCAGGAAATCAGAGATGTGTGAAAGCTCAGCCTCTATGATTTTGCTCTTATCTGAGTTTTAATCATGTAATTACCTGTCTAAGAACCAGTCTGAGCTTATTCAGGTCATTTCAGCCCACATTTCTGCCTAGACTGTGACATTTTTATTTTCTTATCTTCACCTTTCCTAGTTCCTTTTTATTCAGTATGTGAGATCCAGTTTTCCCACTATTGTTTGCATATTCTCATAGTTTGGAAATTTATCAGATTTATTTGCTTGAGGTTAACCAAATGAGTCAATGAATAATTATGCTTGTAATTGCAGTTGCCCTTATAAAAGGCATGAAGAAACTGGAGAAATAGATGGCACACAGATGGTGCAACATGAATTATTTCAAACTTACATATGGTGCTGTGCAGTTAATGTCCTGGGCAGAGAATGCACCAGCCTCTTTACAATAGGTAACTTCCCTCTAAGGTTTATGTGCCTGTGAGCTCAATCCTGCTGCTGGAGTTAGTTGCACTACCCATCTGAGCATGATTTCTGGTCTAAGCTACTTGTTTGTAATCACTGGAATAAAGCTAACAAGGAATATGATTGCTTTCTCAAGTGTTTAAAACCTAATTCCAATAGCCCTTTGTGGCCTCTGTAAAAAGCTTCTTGCCTTCCTGCATTTCCTATACTTGTATTGACTTTCTGTTCATGCTTTTAGGACTGTATGCATGGAAAAGATCTCCAAAGTGTTCTCAAACATATATAAAATTATTAATTAATATATGAACTCAGGTTTGCTTGCCTGTTTTTTTAAAAATTAACCCAACCTGAGCTAAGCTCTATGCTGCATTGTGCACTAGAGGTGTCTTGTGAATCATGACAAAATTTGTTTTGAGACAACTAAATCCATGAATATTATTAATTTCATTATTATGGTAATTATGATTATAATGCAAAAATTAATATCTATACAGCATTAGCAGAAAAAATATTGATCTAACTGTGTATTTTCCAGGCAAAGTGATGGTTGTTTCAATGTCTATGTTTTGGTTTTGTAGATTTAAATGAAAGACAAGCAGCACCTTTACCTGAACTACTACTTAAGGTCGGGGAACCATTGCTGATCAGATGCAGAGCTGTTCACCATAATTATAAATTCAGAATACAATTATCTTTTGAAAACAGAGAAGTTGAGCAGGTAAAAGACAGGGTCTATTTAAAAATAGGTTGTATTGGGCACTGTCAACCGATTAAATGTGAATCTCTGTTGAAAACCAGGGTCGCTACTTTGAAGGATTAGAATATGAAGCAAACTTCTCAGCAATTCGGATCCAGCATGTGTTTGCTTCAGCAGCAGCAAGAAATGACAGTGGACATTACACCTGTTCTTCTACTGCTCATCTGAATCAAACTGCCTTGATCACAGTTTTAGGTAATTCCAATCCCTGGTGTTAATTTTGTCTCTCTATTATTTTGCTTTGTTTTCCGTGTGTCTGTTCTTCACTTGTAGATATGCAGTGCATGTTTATAGTTCCCTTGCTAAGGAAAATGTCTGTTTGCACTTACAAGCAGTCCAGGAGAGCCAAAAGATTAATCTGAACTGAGTCATTCTGGTACCTGAATACAATTAACCTTTTCTTTATATTGCTTTTGAAATAATTCCCTTTAAGAGACAGTGCTTTTGGAAGTGAAATGAAATGGCACTGTTTAGACATGCAGTCTGTATGATTGTTTCAATGGGATCTCCTAGAAACACAGGCTGAAATTCATCTCATATATTGGTGACTCTCAGCCAGTGTGCCACAGAGCCACCATTTTAAAAAGGAAATCCCATTCTACTTAAGCAATTCACTGATTTAAAAGCCAGCGGTGTTGAATTTAGTTGAGAGCAGCCTCAACTACAAACTTTGTTCCTCAGATGGAAATAATATACAAATAGGCCTAAGTCTAGAAATCAGGCATAAAAAGGAAAGCTGTAGGTAGGACCTGCTCCTGGAGTAGGTACAGGGTGTAATTTAATGACTGGTGTGCCTGGAGTTGGAGACTCTAGCCCTGAAAACAAGGCTCTCTGAAGCAGTCACCACATGTTTGACCTTAGATGTAGTTGCTCTCAGAATTTACGATACCTGGGCTAGGAATGGTAGGAAGTGAGAATACTTACCCAAGTCTCTTCAGAAATGACTTTCCAGTGCAATATCCTCTTTTCAGCTTCTGCCTACCTCTGAGCGGGAAGTTCTCTTGTCATTTACAATAACTGAGTACAATACCTGTGTGTTTTTTCTACACACATCTCCTTAGTAAACAGGAACATAGAGGTGATGGTGTACTGTAGACAAAGGGCAAGATCCTCTTTTTTATCAGTAGCAGTGCACAGGTCAGAAATAGTGGATTTTTGGATTTGTGAACTATCAGGTGTGAGCATGTGTGACAGTCAGAGAGAATATTTGAGTGGTTGTCCCTGGAAGGCTGTATTTCTGAGCAGGGTAATTTTTTCACTGCAATACACCACCCTGTATTGATTGTCTTGTGCCCTCCTTATACCCCTTATGCCAACAAAATTTCTAAGGGTTTGTGGTCTTTGGTGATGAAAAAATCTATTTGTTTACTTATATGGTGGATTAAAGTGGGTGGTGTTTTCATACCAAGCTAACAGCTCTGCTTCTCTCTCCAAGGTTCTACAGGAATATCCTGTGCTTCTAATCCATCCCAGCATTTAGCTTTATGTGTTAATGACAATCACTGTGGGTGTGAATTTATGCTGATACAGTACAGATACAATACAGATACAATACAGATTCCATTTCAGCAGTCATACAGATACAGATTTTATTCAGTTGCCCAGGTCTTAGGGTAGCAGTTTCTGAAATAATCAGTGTCCCACCTTTAAACCACCACTGTGCATGATTCAATACCTGTAGCTTCACTGGGAATAACTTATCCAAGAGAAAACTGATTTGGTTGGCACACACTCCATTGCCTGGGGAGCCTGGCTACCATAACTATATGGGTGGGTGTTCTTTGAATCTCTAATAATGCCTTGCAGCCAGACACCTTTGATTCGCACTTTGGTAATTGATACCTCACGAATTTATCCCATTTTGTGTGACTGTCAGGTCAGGCAGGGTGGTTAGGCCGCTTCAAAGCACAGAAGAGATCATGCCAACAACTGCAGCTGCAAGGCTCTTTATTTTTGCAGGTCTTACATTCAGTTTCCACCAGTGTTCAATAAAGAATTTTTAGCATTACAAAATCTTACTTTAGTAATATGTAAGTCAGCACATTATATTAAAAGCAACAAATAGATAAATATGAGGAACATGGAGACTTGTTTGGTCATGAGAGTTTCATCTCACCTCTGTGTCCTTGCTAAGTGCACATAGTCAAAAATACACTTAAGCCTATCAAAAATTGCAAACTAAGCAATAATGTGCCATGTTCTTCCTCCTCCAATAAAGAAACTACTTTTCTTTTTTCTGAGGTGTTTTGCAAAGAAATGGCATACACTGCTCCAAGGTCCTTATATATGCTCTGGAGAAAGCCTTTACTCTTGGCTGGTTGTGTTGTAAACAGTAAATTCAGAGATGATATTCTGCCTGAAAGGATGAGGACCCAAAGATGAAGGCTCCATGTATAAAATCAATAGGCCTTTAATATCAAAAAATAGGAGAGTAGTCATGAAAGCAATAGTGTCTTGTTTTGAAATACTGAAATGTTTGTGGTTTTTATGGGAGTTTCCAGGTAGTAAGTAGGCTAAGACAGAAAAAACATACCAAGCAGAATATAGGGTTGCAATCAGAAGAAAAACACTCAAAAGGAAAAAACAAGTCCAGCAATATATTTATGGTGTAGTTTTTCACCATGCAGCTGATTAAAAACCACCACAAATTTTCCAGAGGTTGTACAGTCCTTGGAGATACCCAAATCAACCCAGACATAGCTCTGAGCAGCCTCATCTAGCTGGACCTGCTCTAGGCAGGAGTTTGATTACATTTCTCTTCCAATGTCTATGGTTCTGTGCTCTTTACAGAGTTGATCCTAGCACCACTGGTGTTTTTAGGACAGCCTCCCCCTACACGTCTGCTGTTCAGCCTCTTTGGGTAGGATTCATTCCAAGCCATGAGACATCCAGCCCCAGCAATGGCTTTGGTTCCTTCACAGTCAGTGCCAAGAAACAGTATTTCCAGAAGCAGTTCAGTACATTTTTATTATCTTCTGCTCTAGGACGGGATACATCTGAATACATCTTTTTCATTCCACTGAGTTTGTCAGAGGTCTAAACAAGTAGCTTAGGTGGATCACAGAACTTTTGACATCTCCACTAGCTGGAACAAATCCCACCCTAGCAAGGCAAATGCCAGCAGCACATGGTTCATGGACCTTTCCAAAACACTTTGCCATGTTGCTGTCATCTTGCATTAAATACGTTTAATTTAAATGGAGAAATACGGGAGCAGCTACAGGACTCATTTGCAAAATCTTCAGCTTATTTCAAGGAGGGAGGAAGAACTACTGATTATGATGGTGGTGCCACCTGGTTTTGTTCCTGTAGAAAGAAAATCAGGAGCTGCAGCTGTTAACAACTGGAATACACACCCGAACCAAACCAAATAATGACATTATTGGCCCTGTGAGTCTGCAGGTTAGACTGAAGAGAAATGTCAGACCATTTTGGAAGTGCTCTGGTCTGACCAAATATGCAATCTTATCAGGCTCAAACCATTTGTCTGCAACTGAACACACTGACAACATTTCAATACTGTTTTGAAGCATTATCTTATTTTGATTTACAGGATACTTTTTGTGATGTAACATAGTTTTTCCTGGTGATAACCAAAAAGAAAAACATACAAATGTTAAAATGTCTTCATTAAAGCCCAGTCTTTCTAATACATCTTTTCTTTCATTTTTTTATCCAGAAAAGGGCTTTATCAATATAACTGACTCTAAAGAAGATTTTGAAATTGGTGAGGAAGAATTTTGCTTTGAAGTTAACTTTACAGCATATCCTCCAGTTAGATGCATGTGGCTATTTTCCAAAAAAACATTTCCATGTGTACAAAGTTACAGTGTGGATGGACGCAGGTATTTGAGTATTTTGTAATAATTTAATATAATTATGTTTCCACTTTGTATCTCATTTGGACCACTTACTGTCAATGTTTTGCACTCTCTTGGTGTTCTTAAAATATGAATAGGCCACACGGTGAGACTGTGTTAACAAAAGGCACTCAAACATAATTTTGGCTTTCAACAACAGTTCACACAGATAACTTGTAGAATCACTTTATTCTCTGTTTATAATAATCCCTTTACAAAGTTATGCATCCAGCAACCCTTTAGTCAATATGCATTTTGCCATTCCCCTTCTCTCTAACATGATCTCTGAGTTATAGATCTGTTGCAGTTTTCAACCTGGATCACAAGTTCTGCGTGTTCCCATTTTGTCATCCTGTTGTTGATGATGTTCCCAGTGTCTTTCTAACAGCTCAGACCAAGCCCAGGGCGCTGTAGTTCCCAGGCCTCTGCTAGGTCTGCTGGCCTGTGCCTGTGTCACAGAAACACTGAGACATGCTGTTCTGCTCGTTACCCAGGTCATGGATTCTTCCGCTGCTGCAGCAAAACATGTTTTGAATAAACCTGTTAGTTATCTACCTTTTCTGTTATTTCCTACAATGGACTTCTGGCATGAATCCTGTTTAAGGCTAATGTTTTCTCCATTCCCTAGGCTCTCTAATTTCTTGATAACATTATCTAATTTCCTTCAGGGTTTCTTTCAGAGTAGTCCCATGGCTTTGCAGGTAACAGCTTTTACTCACCTCAATGAAAGCAAAGCCAAGCTGCTCCTTTCAAGTTTTTACATTAAAAGTGAGCAGGCTGTAGGCAGGAGCTAATCAGCTGCTCTGATTTCTTCTCATATTCTTGAAACCTGTGTCATTATCTGCATAAAGCTGTGTCAAAGCCTTGATTACACTTTTAATGATTTCTTTCCATAGTATTTTGATACCTTTGATTTTATCCACTAGCTTGTCAAGTTATTTTTGCAATAGACTGGCCTTTTCAACTGCATCAGATGATGTATTGGAGTCAGACCTCAGTGAAGTTCAGAGACAGCTCAGTTCAGGTTAGCAAATTGTCATCTCCTGGCAATGGCCACAGGAACTCTGTCCCTGCTGATAAAGAGAGGGCTGTCAGCAAACTTTGATAGCACTGGGTGGGTGTTGGTGACTAATCTGCAATGCCTGACATGGGCTTGGCAGAACTGTGCTTTGTGACAAAACTGACTTTGGAAATGAGGTCTTAGGAGACGGCCACCAGCATTTGCTCATCCTTGTCCAATAGGTACCTCCCTCCAGCTGATAACACGGAGCTGATTTGCTTTTCACTTGATACAGACCTCTCCTCACTGCTTGTACCAGCAGGACTCAATTTTTCCTGGATGATTGACAGCGGGTATAAATTCAATCCAGATAAGAATGAGGTGCTACAGACTGTGCCAACAATAATAATATTGAGAACTTTTGGAATAGTTTAGGCAGCTGTCATTAGTCAGTAGGGTGCAAGTGCTGGCCTGGGATTTATGAGTCACTTCAGAGCCATGGCAGCAAAGAAGCAGCAATTGCTGAGTGCTGATCACCACCTGCCGGATGGGAAAAAGGCCAGCTCGTGTCCCTGGAGCTGAGTGTCCGAGTGTCTCTGGAGCCACAGCCATGGCCACAGCCACCAGGCATTGCTGGTGCAATGAAGCAGCCTGGCAGCTGCTTCAAACAGATAACTCAGCCGTCTGTCTGACAGTGATGCTGGACAAACAGAATTTTTTAATGTTTATTTTGGTTAGTTATTCTTCGCATTTATTTGCATCCTATTTATCTTATGGAAAAATAAAATAGAGGGGAAAACACTTGAATGTGCTGATTATTTAATCTCACAAGTACATTCTTTTGTGCAGACATCCCTCACAACGATCCAATTTTGGCTGAATTCAAGCATTAGATAGACATGTCTCACCTGAGGACAATGAGTAGGGGTACATATCTCATTCAGTTTGAAGCACCCAGAAACAGCAAGGGGTAGGAAAGTCAGGAGATTTTGCCTGCAGGCTGTAGCTTTGCAGATTTCAGTGTGATTTTAAAGCAGAAAGTTTCTCTAAGCAGCACAGAAAAGGTCATCACATATCTAAACACATTGTGGGGCTCACTTTGCATGTTCTAGTTGATTTCTGTGTAGTCCTGTCTCCCAGGACTTCTACTTTTTTCCTTTCATATCCTTTTTCATTTCCTGTTTTTATTTTTTTTTAATTTCTGCCAGTTCCTTGTAAAATTATTCCTTCAGATTAAAGATAATATTAAATTTTAATAATTAACTCTGTACATTTCTTTAGCTTTTCATTTCAAAACCCAGCGATCCATCTCTCCTGTCACTACACCTACAGTATATTTTCAGACATTCCTTCAGATTTTCCATTTTTTATTTGCTTTTGTGGGCTCTCTGTTTCAGCACACTGCTGATTTTCACTTCCCCCCAAAGAACTAATGACTTTTCATACACACAGTGTCTTCTGTTAAATTTATAATATTTAGCTCACATCCCCTTATATTTTCAGGTATCAAAGATACTGTTTTAATTTTTTTCCTGATTATTTTATTAGGATATAATTCTTCAAACCTGGAATTTCAAAAGCAACTCATTATTTTTGGTTTCGTCTTTTTTTTTGCTGTCTTCAGAATCTTTTTTGAGGCAGCTTAAAAGGGTTCTGACTTTAAAAAATCCATAAGCTCAGAGACATCGTTAAGGCCATTTCAGAGGAAGACATTCAAAAGTCAATAACTATATGAAAATGTGGCCTTAGTCAAAAGACAAAATTGCCAGTGGCTTCAAGGGGAGCTTTCCTGGTTTAGAATTTCAGGGTGATACTTGGTGCCTTTGTATGTATCTTGCTTAAGGAGAAATATCCTGATTTTAGTTCTCTAGATTGATCTCATTAGATTTTAGTTCTCTAGATTGATCTCATTACTGCTTTCTCCTACTTTGCATATTGTTGATATGGGCTGTCTGGGCTTTTTTTTCTCTCTCTCTCTTCAAATTCGCTGATGTTCCTGCTTGCTTTTATCACTGAAGCAGAGTTGGGGTCCTACAACATAGTTACCATTGAGTCGTCAGCAAAAACATCTTTCCCCAAATTGTCAGCAACTACACCTAAGAGAGATTTTCTTAGGTTTCTCTTCTAATGCTGATAAACTGCATTATCTGCTATTCAAAGCTGACAATTGTCCTGACAGCAATGACCTAGTTAAAAGCACAGAAATAGGATGCCATCACTGTAAAATGGCATATTCCCTTCTCCCTACCTCATCCCATGTCCCTTAAACCAGTGACTCAACAGGACAGTCAGGCACAAATTTTTAAGTTTCTGCAGTCCTCTGTTGTTAGTTTCTGCCCAGAGACTTGTTAGAGCCCCTCCTGGCCATCTCCATGGTCACAAGCTGTCTTCTGCATGGTTTGGGTCTTGTTTTTCTGCCATCCAGTGGCTCAAAGGCCATAGGGATTAGTAAAAGGCTGGTCTTCCTCCTGCAGAACCCCTTGAGGGTTGGTGTTTCATCTCACTGACAATGAGATGATGGGGATCTCATTCCTGAGTCTGTGTAAGATCTTTCCATTTGGAGATGTTTCCTATGCTCCTCCCTGTCATTGTTGTTTCCTAACACAATCATATCACATCAGCTAGAAACTCCCATCAAACTTCCTCGGAGAGAAGAAAGTTTGATCCTTTGCTGGTCTTAGCAGAAGTACCTGGGCGTGTCATGTATGAATTAGTAACAAAATCCCAGCTTAACAGCCTGAATGCACTCCAGGAACAGTGAGAGAAAAAATGCAGAATTAAATCAATTCTGCAGGGAAAAAAATATATTCTCACCAACATAGTTAGATTCTGGGATTTATACTGTCTAAGCAAAAATAATTACCTTTGTATTCTTCATGAGAAGATGCAGAATTGTTTCAAACCTACAAATGAGTCTTGACTGCATTTGAAATATTTTCCAAGTCAATATTTTTTCCTTTTCCCTTTTTTGACTTTGTTCCACAGCATTTCATCAAAGTTCTGCAACCATCAGCACCAGTCTGGGATATATGTATTTTATGCTGAAAATGATGATACAGCTGTAACAAAAAAATTCACTCTGTATGTGAGAAGTAAGTAACAAAACTATTGCTGAATATTTGGCAAAGTCTGGTATAAATTGAGCTGTTATGGCTTTTTTAATTGGTATTCCCTATTTCATTTACATAGATTTATTGATAAAAATAGAGGATCAAAAGGCAAAAACATGATCCTCTTCACACAGCATCACACTGCTGAAATCTAGGCACTGGGAAAGACACTGGCTGTTTGTGGGTAGTATTTCTTGTGTCAGTTAGGGATGGAGAACAGTGAAAGGAGGAGAAAGTTTCTAATTTTTTCCTTCCCTTTAGTCTACCATAAACAGAATATAAGGAATCAGTTGCATGCTGAAAAAATTAATGCTTCTTAAGAAAATTACAAGCCTAAGAACTCAATAAAATACAGTAACTCTATTCTATTTCTACAAAGCTGGAACATATGTGACTGCTGCAGAAACCACATGAGATATAGAGCTGGGAGCAAACGCTTGTCCCCATTAGGAATGATCTGTAATTAATCGCCCTAATGGCATTTAAGAGTTAATGTAGTTAGTGTGGAGACCCTCTGGTGTGTAACTTGTATGTTTGGGCTGCAATGGCTCATACACCCCTGCCCCACACTGGCACAGTCTTGATCAATGCTCTCGGTTATCTCAGTTCTGCCACCTGACTGCAGCATCTCTCCCTTGCCCCAGGTATAGGGACTTTATTTGTGATATATAATTTACACAAGGATCTTCTGTGCACATTTTGTACAAGTTGGACACCCAGAGCCTCAGTGCCAGGGCAGTCCTAGGGCCAGCTGCTTGGTATGAGTCAGAAAAGCAGAAGTCAAGATCTCTAATTTTGGCTCTTCCATTCTTTTGGTCTGGCTGTGTACCTACAGAGAAATGGCTGCTCCCCTTGCCTTGCCACACTGCCATCCACAAAACCAAGGAAGGAGGAAGACTATGAGCTACACCCAGCTCTCACTGTGACGTGCAGTTTTAAACTTTGAAAACAGAAACAGACCTTGGTCTCAGCAGATTTAGCATGGCCACATAAGTGTACAGGGTCCTGTCACTTGAAGTGCTGGCAGAAATTGTCTTACAGAATCATAGAATTGATTAGGTTGAAAAAGATCTTTGAGATCATAGAGTCCACCCATTAACCCAGCACTCTCATGTATACCACTAAGCATGTTCTTAAGCCTTGTGCTGTCTTATTGCAGGGAAGCCTGAAATAAGGATGCAGCTGTTGTTCAAGCAGATCTCCTGTGTTGCTGAAGGTTACCCTGCCTCATCCTGGGTTTGGAGGAACTGTCTTGAACTGAACTCATCCAAGTAAATAACTTTCTTTATTTTTATTCATTGCGAAGACTATCTGAGCTGTCCTTGATTAAATGAGGACAAGTCTGTAACAAACTAAATGTAAAATGCACATTTAATTGTGTGCATTTAACTGGTTGCCCTACTCCAGGGAACTAGATCACCAAAATTAGGGTAAGTTTTCCCTTTTTTATTGCCATCAAAAGAAGTCTATAAAGATGTGTATCTCAGGCTCTTTACACCAAAATAGACCCCACTGGGTTTATATCAACAATTAGGTGGTAACAAAGTCCAATCTTAGTTTTTCTCCTACCCTATCAAAGTTATAGGGATTCAGGGAATGCATTGGTTAATACAGGCTTGATTAATTGGTTAAGCTTTGGTTAAAAGACATGTTATGGTGATCTGTTACCAAAGCCACTAAAGTCAGTGAGAGTGTTTCCAGTAAAGTTAGTGAGAGTATTTCCAGTAAAGTTAGTAAGAGTGCCTCCATTTTCTCTATTTATTTAGGGCAATGAGTCAGGCTCTAAAATTTCAAAAAATGCTGAAACAGCTTTGACCTGATTTGTGAACTCTGCAGTTTTTGTTTTAGATATGCCAAGAAACTAATAGTCCCATGGTACAGAAGAATACTAAGTCAAATTTTCCTTTGTAAGATTGTGGATAAACTCTTAAGCATTTATTTTAGCTAGACATAAAAAAAATACCTGGACAATTTTTTTATCCATACCTCTTAAAAGGTTTCCTTATATCAATCTCTTTGTGCAGAAATGGAAGACAAAAAAACCACCATGCAGCTAGTGGGTTTAAAATACTCCTTAAATCATCTTTCTGGAACGAAAATGCTATGACATATCTTTTCTGAGGAACTTCCAAATGTAGAAGCTAGTGCTATGAGTAGAGCTGAATAAATTTCATTTATTTCTTATCTCCTCATTTATTTATGTGGAGAGTAAATTAGACAGTAAGTTGATGAATGATAGAAAAGCTGGAAGTCAAAATTATCTATGTGGACCTCCTTTCCCTCAAGTGTAAAGTTCCCTCTTCCTACATGTCAGGCCTTAAATAAGTCATTAATTCCCTCCATCTGGATGGATGGAGGCTCTCCATCATGAGTGAGAGAAACTTCATGGATGAAATGACATACCTCCAGGGAAAGGAGTTAGAACTTTTACTCTGGGTTCATCTTGCGTTTATAGTTTTAGCAGTGGCTCGTTTGCAGCTTCTCAGTGGTCTCAGTGTTTGAGGCAAATATTAAAGCAGTGGGAACAGATGAGGTACGGGGGGTTGTGTCAGTTGTGAAATCAGTGGAGGTTCCAGAGTTCAGAGGGTGCAAATACCCTGCCCAAGGCAGTGGTGGAGAGTGGGAGTGAGCCCAGTGTAGGACGAAGCTCAGTCCCTGCTAACCCTGCCATGTCCATCACCAAAAAGGAGACTGGTAAGTTACCAGAAGTCTCACTCTACCTCTGACAAAACCCAAGCCCCTTCCCTTCTTCTCTTCCAAAACAGACAAAAGGTATGTTTTGAAACTTCCCACCTTCTTTCCTGGTAAATGTCACTGTGAGCTAACAATCAAAACTGGTCTGCTTCCTTTTTCAGCTGCACAGAGGAAATCACAGAGGGGATTCAGAACTTCTTGCCAGAGAGGAGATCCCTGGGGTCGTGGATTTCAAGCAGTACTTTATATGTAAAGGAGACAGCAGCAACCTTCTCGGTGGAGTGCTGTGCAAACAATTCTGCTGGCTCAGCCTGCGAAAAGAGTTTCATTAACCTGTCAGGTACCACCTGTTTTGGCACAGGTTTTCTCAACTAAAGCTGGCATGGTAGAAGAACCTACAATACTTTTTGTCTGGCTAAATGGCTGACTGTGCTATGACATTGCAAGTAAAATACAAGCTCTGTTTGTACACAGTATCAGAAATGGTGGGAGAATGGGAGACAAAATTCTCTTTTCCCTAGGCCCAAAGCAGAGGCATCCCTCATTTAAAAAAAAAAAAAAAAAAAAAAAAAAAAAAAAAAAAAAAAAAAAAAAAAAAAAAAA